CCAAAACCCCAAAACCCCAAAACCCCAAAACCCCAAAACCCCAAAACCCCATTAGAACAAATTTAAAAACAATTAAGGTTAAGTAGAAATATTAATGCTTCAAAATAATGAATCTTAATGATATTACTCATTTGTATATCTAATTACAACAAATATTGTGATGATTTATCAACACACTCATATCCATTTTTCATTTTATTTTCAATGAGATTTTCTAAGACAATTCGAATTGTAGTTAAACATTGGCACTAACTTGACTTAAAGGGTTGACTAATACTTTTATAATTAATTTGGATCTTTAGGTTCATCATTCTCAAAGCCTCCATCCAAATTCTAAAGGCTAAACTAGTTAGTGCATTCTTCCATATTATCAATGTTTTCCATAAAGTCTCTATATGTATCACTGTCACCTTGGTTGAAAGGGGAGCTCTCTTTAGCATTATCTGCAGCATCATCAGCATCACATATTGCAAATTCTATTTATTTCAGTTAAGACATAATCTAATCACCAACTTTGCTGCTCTAACTTTGCTTCAATTCCAAAGCATTATGAGATGAAAATATTTATTCTTCTCTAACTTCCTCTTGAATTACTTCTATAATGTAGTTCTGCTAATGCACAGTGACTTGATTAGAAAAGGGATTGGCATTTTGGGGACTAAATTCAAAATTATTGTGCAGTCCTGTTAAATTGGTAGTAGTTGTTTGAAGCTTCTAAGCGTCAAAATCCTTTTTCTAGAAAGACCTTTGATTTTTATCTTCCTCATAACTCTACTCAAGATTATCATCCTACTCTTAGATAATTGGATTATCTAGTTTATTCGAGTCTTCTAGAGAGTCTTTGTTTTGCCTAGACTCGTCCATCTTGTCCTTTTCCTTTTCCTTATCTTTACCCTTCATCTTCTTTGAGATTGACTTACTGTTTTTTCTTTATTTCTTTTTACTACGATTGGCACTTGTTTTTCTTGATCGAGATTTCTGCTTGCTCTCATCCTTCATAGTCTCATCATTAAACTCTTCCCGCTCATCAATAACCCCATTTAGTATTTATGAAGTTTGATTTCCTTCAATTGGATCTAATCCAACTAAGGAATAGCCCCCAGGATTTTACTAGTTGCTGCAAAAACTCAATTAGTTGGTGCTATTATGCTACAATTTTTAGGTGAATTTTAACTTTTCTGTTTTCTATTCGTTTTATTCACTCATTATAATTTTAGCAGATTGGTACTGAAACTATTCTTGAGATGTCATTTACTTATAATTTTTCTAGTTTGGCTATCCTTAATCATCTAATTGCTTTTGTGAATCGATTAGGTCATACCAATCAAAGATCATGTCCAACTTAATGGCATTTTTCTCTGCTGACTTTTTCAAATAAAATTCTATTAGCTGATAATCGGGATCCATATTTCCCTCTAAATTCAGGATATATTCCAAAATATTCGAAAATTCAATCGGCAATTCCTTGCATAAAACGCATGGTGGAATAGACGCTTTTTGTAGCATTAATTCCCGGTAGTCCTCTTGATTCTAAGCTCGAGTGTTTTGCCAAGGCAAACTTCCTTTGAAAAGTTAAACCAAAACATAGATCATAGACTCTAAGTCGTCCTTTTTAAAGCTTTCTATTTTGAAATACGTCACTTCGAAGATAATTACCTCCTGTCGCCAAATGAGCATTGATTGAAGAATATATAGGTGTGCCTGCCATTTTCCTAGCGATTGTATTATTGCCCATATAAGCCATTGACACTTAAGTCAATTTCTTAGTAAGACCGAAGTCGATTAAGTATATAGTATTCTCACGTTTACCAAGACCGATCATGATATTAGCTGGTTTTAAATCCCTGTGGACATAACCGATATCATGAATCATCTTTAATCTTTTAAGCTGAAAAAATAAGTCATTATAAATTGGATAGTTACAAGTTACAACCCAATTTGGATCACGCTTTTTAGACTAAATTTCTTCGAAATCTAGTCTCGGATATCCTTCAAACTGGGTCCCAACCTCTCCATTACAATGGCAAAACATTCTCGAGTTAGTTCATTGTGGAATAATTATGGGAATCCTATTACTCCTCCCTTTCCATTTGTAAATTCCTTTTATAGGTCTTTCATAATTTGAATCTCCCTAATGAATTTTTGCTTATGCTTCTTGTCTCGAGCCATCTAAATATTTCAATTAGAGTTATCAGATGGCAGATAAAAATATAATAATGGATGAATTTTATTGTGTATACTTACTAATTTGACAGCTATTGGCATTTCAGTTTATAAGTCTTTCCCGAGATATACCATTCCATGAGCACCCTGTCCAGCTTATTTTTTTAGTTTGTATCTTTTGGCTATAGTTTGCCCCGTCATATCCTGCAACTCATCCTCTGGTTTTTTCTTGACTTGAGTGAGCATGATCTCCCAAACTTAATTAATATTATTTCTACACTCTCATTTTATATTTTTTAATCTTCGACTGTAAAAGTCAAATGGGGTTTTGGGGTTTTGGGGTTTTGGGG